AGGGGAAAGGAAAGAAGGGAAAGGAAAAATTATGAGAAAAGGAAAAAATGAAAACAAAGTCTTAGTAAATAGGAAAGGGTGGAGGGGGTGAAGGGAGGACAGGGAATGGGGAAAAAATAAGAACTAAGATACATCATGTACAGGTACAAGTACCCAATCGTAAATGTAAATGTACTGTATACCTAAAATGTACCAATAAAAGAATTTAAGCAAAAAAAAAGAACCAGAGTGATGCTCTGCAGAACAGTGGCCACAGGTGGTACAGATCCCTTGGGATGCTGGAGCTGACATGAGCAAAACACACATGAGATTCCAAAGGCACAGCACAAACTAAGCAGCAGCTAGAACCTGCTTCCAGGTACGCATACATTTGGACTCCCCATACTGTGTATGATACTGAATTGATGCATACAAACTTTTATGTCAAAAATAGATCTTTCTCAAATGGGAAGGGGATCAAGAAATGGAAGGGGGAGGGGGGAAAGAAAGGGAAAGGGATGAAAATAAAGGAATGAAGATGTGTTCTGTCCATGTACCAACTCCACATAAAGACTGTAAACATTATGTCCTCCAAATGTGGACTGATAAAAACTAATTTAAAATTTTAAAAAATCTTGGGCATTTTGTTTCTCTGAGAACAAACTTGAAAAACTACAGAGCCAATAATCCTACACAGAGTGTATCCAAGGACATTGTACAGTTTTATATACCTTCACAATATACTTTGCTGCTTTCTAGATAATTTATTTTGCACACATTACTGAACAGTTGTAAATAACTTATATAATATAACATCACTTTCAGTATGTGTAAAGAAATAAATTAATTTTTAAAAAAGATTAGGCTAACTGGAAGATCTAAGAGGTTTTTGATTCTCTCATACTCTATTTCTCTGATGGCAATGGAGAAGAACACTTTTCAGACTGAAAAATAAATCTTAACCACAATAAAACTGTCCCTTCTCTCCAACCTTGCTTTAAGCTGACTGAAACCTGCGTTACTATTCATGGAAGACTGGTGGGGGTTAGATTTAGAAAGAAAATTAACACTACCTAAGGAAACGGCAGTTGGCATGTCCCATGTGTCAACAAAATAAGAGAACGCTGTCCAGCAATTCTTCATTTCTCTGTGGCAAACTCTCTGCTGCTCAAACTTTCTCCTTCAACTTCTAGGTCCCAATTTCTCCCACTGCTGTGTGGCTCTGTCTACAACTTCAAAAACTGAAGCCCAAAGATGGGCGCCAACCTCAGGTTGCTACTCCATCCAATCATCCCTGTTCTCTTCCTCCTCCTTTACCTGACTGTTAAGTGTGGTATACCTTAAAACTCAGCCCACACAAGGACTCATCTTAATAGTATCATCCTCATCCTCAATTTTCACTGCCATCTAAATACAGAAGACTCTTTCCTTTACAAAATAAATGAACTGAAAAGTCAGGCCTAGTGGTGCACACATATAATCCCAGCACTTGGGAGGCTAAGGCAGGAGAATCGCCACGAGTTCAAGGCGAGCCCTGGCTACATAGTGAGATCAAGGCCAGCTCAAACTACATGAGACCCTGTCTCCAAAAACAAAAACAAAAACAAAACCAACTAAAGCACCATCCCCCCCATGGCTGCACAGAGACACTTGGCCACTTCCAGCAGTGCCAGATCAGGACATTCTAAGAGGCCTTCTGTTGAACACCTAAGGCCACACTCATGGTAGGGTTTTGTCCCATCCCCTCTGAACCTGGCTCTCTTTCAATATTCTGAAGACAAGTCATCCCGGTCACATTCTCTCCATAACGCTAACTAATCATCAGCACTGCCTACTTTGCCTCTGTATTTCTCTTAAATCTATTTACTTATCAGTTCTGCTATCACCCTCATCCAAGACACCATGAATGTTCTCCTACATTTACTTTAATAACCTTCTACATAGTCTTTCTGTTTTCACAAAAGCCAGAGTGATATCTTCAAATGAAAATGTGATCATGTTACCACCCCCACCACATCTCCTTGCCACTGCTGCTAAGGTTTGAATGTCCTCCCCAAAATCATGCTATTATGAAGCAAGAAGGCCCTTACCACCCCTCCATCTTGCACATCCCAGCTTCTAGAATTCTGATGACATCTACTTAAAACTGCTAATGTATTTCCACTGCTCTGAGAATAAAAAAAAAAAAACCCTTAGCATGTCTGGCAAGACCATACATGGCTTGGTCCCCTTTCTACCTACTCCTCAGCTATATTTTAAAGCCAGCCCCACCAGGTGCTTACAATTTTTCAAATGGCTGAGCTCCTGGTCTGCCAGAGTTCTTGCACTCTTAGAACACTTTTCAGCCCAATTAACTACTACTGATCAGTTTCATAAAGGCCTCTCTAAACCTCTGACCCCAATCTCTACTGCCCTTCCCCAAATGAGATAAAATTCTTTTGACACATGTTCTCAGAGAACTGCAGTCTTAGCCACCACAGAACCTACTTCATTTTGTCATGTCACAATCACATTTATCATTTCTTAAGTATCTTCCATTAAAACAAAAATCAACCAACTATGGACTGCAGGTACCTATTTTTGCACGGCTAGGAGTAGTGTGTGAGTGAGTGTGAGTGTGTGAGTGTGTGTGTGTGTGTGTGTGTGTGGTTTGTTTGAGTTTTTTTGTCTTGTTTTTGCTTTTTTTTTGGTACCAGGGATAGAACTCCAGTCCTTGTGCTTGTAAGGCAGGCGGCGAAACCACTGAGCTAAATCCCCAGCCCTTTTTGTCTTGTTTTTGAGACAGGGTCTCACTATGCAGTTCAGGCTAGACTTGGACTCACTACGTGGTCCAGCCTGGCCTCAAACTCACAGCAATCCTCCCACCTCAGCCTCTTGAGTGCTGGGATTGCAGGCATGTGCCACCACACACAGCTGGTCTTTATATTTTTAAAGGGATGGAAAATAAACAATATGCAATAGAAACCATGTAGTTCATGGCCTAAAACATTTACTATCTGCAACCATTTCACAGAGAAAATTTCCCAACTCATGCACTAGAACTATGACAGCAAGGTTCTTGTACATCTTACCACTGTGCCTGGAACTTAGCATACAGCTTGCTGTATGTGCTCAGAAAATGCTCATGAAATAATTAAATGAGGAGGTCATCAAAGAAAGTAAAAAAACGGGAAGGGGTGTTTAAATATTAAAAGAAGAACAAAGGAATGGACCAAAACAAAGGAACTTAGATTCGTCACTCATTAGAAACACTAATGAACAAGTGAAGCTATCTGAGGTCACAACATGTGAACAGTCAGATGAATTAAAATAAACCAGCAGATGAAAATATCAGTTCAAAAGAGTCCCAGGACTCAGGAGGCAGAGGCAGGAGAGTCACCATGAGTTCGAGGCCAGTCTGGGCTACATAATGAGTTCAAGGCCAACTTCCACTACAAAGTGAGATCTTGTCTCAAAAAACAAAACAAAACACAAACACACATAAAAGTTCAAAAGGATGTTTCTATTCAAAGCTTAACCTCTCGCTATTAAGAAACTGCCTCTAATCCTTTTGTACTCAAAACTGAAAGTCCAACCCACAGAGAACATACCAGTCCTAGGATGGGGGGCGGGGGGGGGGGGG